CTGTAGTCATATCTATAATGCTACCACTCAGGAAGCTGAGATCTGAGGTTCATGGTTCAAAGCCGCCCTAGCAAGAAAGTCCATGAAACTCTTTAATTAACCATCAGAAAACTGTAAGTGGAGCTGTGACTCAAGTGGTTGTGTTAGCCTTGAACAAAAAAGCTTAGGAACAATGCCCAGGCCCCATAACTAGCAGAGAGACAGAAAGAGAGACAGAGAGAGAGACAGAGAGATCTGAAACTTTGAAACTACTAGAGGAAAATGTAAGGGAAGCACATCAAGATATAGGCATAAGAAAAATTTCACAAACAGTACTCCAAAAGCTCAGGAAATAAGAGCAAGTACTTTACAAATGGGATTACATCAAACCAAAACGCTCCTTCACAGCAAAAGAAACGATCCACAGAATAAAGAATGGGAGAAAGTATTTTTCCAGCTATATATCCCCAAGAGATAGATATCTAGACTAAGTAATCCCATCAAGTAACAGGCAAATGAACTGAATTTTTTGAAGAAATGTTAAATACTAAGAAATACATGAAAAAAAATGTTGAAGATTTTTAGCCAGCAGGGAAATGCAAATCAAAATGACACTGAGATTCCATCTCACCCCTGTCAGAATGGCTGTCAACAAGAAAACAACAAATGCTGGCAAGGACGCAGGAGGGAAAAAGAACCCTTATACACTAATAGTGGGACTATAAATTAGTCCACCCACTATGGAAATCAGTAGGGAGTTTCCTTGAAAAATTAAAAATAGAACTTCCATACCAAAAAGAATTAAAGTAGTTTACTATAGAGTCACTTGCTTACTAATGTTTATCACTGCACTATTCACAACAGCCATGTTATGGAATCAGACTAGATGCCCCTCAATAGATGACTGGGGAGAATGCACACACACACACACACACACACACACACACACACACGCTGAAGCATATTCAGCCATAAAGAAAAATGAAATCATGTCATTTGTCAGAAGATGATCATATTAAATAAGTTATTCTCCCAAAGACAAATATCACACTTTTTTTAATTTGGAATTTGGTGGTGGAGAGAAGAACTTGAAAGTAAAAGGGGATTATTAAGTTTGTGGAAGGAAAAAAAGAGAAGAGAGGAAAATTATCTTAAGTGAAGTAAGCCAGGCTCAAAGAAACATAGGTCCCATGGTTTCCCTTATTTGCAATAATTAGTATATGTCTGAGAGAAGCAGAAAAGGTCAGATAAGTTGATGTTAGGTGAAATGAACCTCAAGATAAGGATTCAAATTTTTTTTCTTTCTTGTGATTGTTTCTAACATATTTATAAGATGATTTCTTTATTTCTTTATATGCCTTTCCCCCATGGTATAACCCTTGCTTTCATTGTATTTGATGTTGGTATAATTTGTGGAGGGGAAGGGCAAAAACAAACCGTTTAAATAGGGATACAGGTGGATCCATTGCAACAATGAGATGTACAAGTCTTAATGTCGAAAAACGAACTTTACAACTTTGGTTGGGGAGGGAGATGGGAAGGGAAGGTATGGGGAAACAAAGGAGGAGGAAACAATGCTTGATAAGAAATGTACTCATTACCTTGCCCATGTAACTGTAACCCCTCTGTACTGTATTTTTACAATTAAAAAAAAAAAGAAAAAAAGAGAAGAGAGGGTATGAAAGAAAGGGTAATAGAGAGGTAAATATGATCAAAGTACATTATATGCTTGTATAGAAACCCCTTACTTTATATAATTAAAACCCCTTTATCCCCACGACTGACCAAAAAACCTTTTATATGATTAAAAACTTAAAACATTGTAGTGCAGAGTGCTGGTGGCTCATGCCTGTAATCATAACTACTCAAGAGGCAGAGATGAGGATCAAGATTTGAAGCCAGCCCCAGCAGGAAAGTCTATGAGACTCTTATTTCCAATTAACCACCAAAAGCCCAGAAATGGAGTTGTGCCAGCCTTCAGCAAAAAGCTCAAGGACAGCACTCAGGCCCTGAGTTCAAGCCCCAGAACTGGCATGCCAACTAATAGATAGATAGATAGATAGATAGATAGATAGATAGATAGATAGATAGACATATATATAGCAGTGTAGTAAAAATTATAGCAACTAATTTTTTCATTCTGACACATAAAGGCAAAAGAAATAACTTGTAGTCTCATGTTACAATCCCTTTTTATAAGAAATTATATTTTAACACCAAAAAAAAAAAAGCCATGATTTCTGAATTAAAGGTTTTTCCTTCCTGCAAATGTCATGTTACAAAGACTTTCCTAAGGGTCATAAACACCTGGTCATGGGCCGAAATGGGATACAGATCAAGGCTGGGAAGCATAATCCAAACCGGATCCTCCTCTCCTGTGTGGCATATCCATGGTAATCACTAACTCCTGTCTGTTTCCCTTCAAAATCTCTATGGTGCCTCAGAAATTTGCCTTCTCCAATACATCCTGGCTTCTAAGGACAGGAATACTCACATTCCTCCTAGACCCACCTGGGTTTGTGCTACCCAAACTGAAACTAGTGCTACAAGTTTCTGAAAGCCAGAGTCTGTCTAATCAGGATCATTTGGATCATTAAAGCTCCCCCATAATTAGCAGTCAATTTCTTACTAGAGCTATTATTTCAACATGTGGCTGGGCGGGACAAAGTTCCAATGTGGGATCTTAAACAATACTGAGTTCCAGTGATGAAAGAAGGGGGAAACACATTGATCTTCAAACACAGAGGTGATGTTGTTGGTCCTGGGGTCAGCAGGGAAGTTTTGAGTTAATCTACTAGAAGATGGTCTCAAGCCATCTATGGACTCCTTCTCAGCCTTAGTGTCCAAGGATAAGCTAGGTTAAAAATAATGATGTGCTAGCATGTGAAAAAAATGGCAAAAGGGAAGCATCACCATCTACACTTCACATAACTATTCCTTCTTCAGCTGCCTGTTAAATATATATTAGTATTGCTATTTGGTAGCGAAAGTAAGGGCAAGAATCTTGACCATTCAATAGTCAACAAATAGCTATTGGCACCTATGATGCAGGCACGGTACAAATTATTAGGACTTTACCCAAGGTGACACAGCTGACAAGTAGTAAAAGAAGCATCTAAATACAGTCACCAACCTCAAGTCAGTTCCATTCATGGCTGCCCCTCAGGCTGAGGTCACCATTGCTGCACACCAGAGCCAAAGACTATAATGGGAAGGACAAAATGGTTCATCCCTTTAATTGCTCCTTTACAAGGAAAGCCAGCCTTCTCCAACACCTGCTTTCTCCAGGGGCAACCCAGTGTAGCCCCCAGTGCCAAATTAGTTTCAACAATATCCACATTGTGCAGCTCATGTGAGCCAAGGGCTCATGCACCTCTATGACCCAGTGGGCATTTGTGAAGTATTCATGATACCTCAGTAGAAAAAATATGGCAAAAGAGATGCTTATTCTTGCATTTTTAGGGTTTCCAGAGCAATGGGATCAGAAGGCAAACAATGAGGTTTGAAAGCTCCTTCTGTTTGGACTAAAATCTCCAGTTTAACCCACATCAAGAGTCTGGGGCCTATTCTTCAAGCACACCCATCTCTCTGGTTATAGCATGTGCCCTATGCCAGTTTTAGAAACAATGTTCACCATCTACTTTGGCTGGTCATCCTCACTGGCTAGCCTGCTCATTAGTTGCATCAGAGAAGGGGCCAGTCATACACTAGGCTGCCTATCTCAAGAATGCAAAAATCTTCATGAATGGTCCACCCTGCTCCTGCAATCACAAGGAGGTGGGGCGACAGCTACAGGACACGGTCACGTCCTAGGCTAGCCTGATCAATAGGTGAGTCAGTGCCTGCAAACAGTATAAAACCTTAGGTGCTCCAGTGCTCCTCACATCGCCAGCATCTCCTCTCCTCACTCATCCTCCCTAGTGCTTTGGGTAAGTGTGGGTTTGCTGGCTCTCTCGTCTTCCCAGCTGACCTGGCTCAAGCCTCCATAGGTTAGTGGCCTGGGCTCCTCTCCCCTGTGGGAGATACAGGACCTCTGTGGCACTCATACTCAAAGGAGATGCAGTTCAGGGACAAGGGGCTGAGCTGCTGCTATGCAGATGGTGTTTCTGGTCTTGATGGGAATATAAACTCTGCCAAGAAAAGACCATCTCCTGATGGTCTGGCACCCCTCTAGGAGAGAGAACAGGGGGACCGACAGGGGACATTGCAGAGGCTGTCCAAGGCAGGCTGTGTGCATGGGTTTAGCTCAATGAACCTCAGATGCCTGTCAGGAGAAGCTGAACCCACTCCTAGAGAACAGGGACATTGATTGAGAGTTATTGTATATGGGAGAGGTTTTTAGGAGCCACAGAAAACAAAATCCTGTTTTGCAAAGGCAGACGTTCTGTCAGGAAAATGACTTGTGGTGTGCTGGGATGCAATTTCCTGCCCGCTACAGTTTCCTCTATCAGGCTTGGACTCCAGCAGGTCATAAAAGATGTCTGACACTTTCTGGTCAAGTTGCTGGTCCACAGGACCATCAGGATGGTTTTGCATTGCTTGACAGGCCCAGAGCAGAGCCTGTCTTTTCCAATTAACCAGGCCATGGATAACAGCCCCAATCAGAGAGGCAGGGCAGACAGCCAAGAGTTTGAACTAAGGACTTCTGCAGAGAATATAGGGTGCAGCAGGCCTCTACCTCCCAACCCCAGGTAGAGATTCAGAGCAATTTTCTATTTGAACTTGGAGACGCAGTGTTGGGAGTGGAAGAGACCAGAGGGATCAAGTATTCAAACAGCGCTGTGGGCAGTGTGGGTGATGGGCCCCAAGCCCATCACATAACAGATGCCGCTAGGTGGAGCTGGGAGAGAAAGTGGGCGCCACCGACGGGACTGTTTCAAGTTGGGTGAGGGCCCTTCTTGGAAAGCGGCAGCTCAGGTGTTCCCACTCGGAGCCCGCGTGGAGCCCCGGGAACCGAGTCAAGCTAGCTACCATTGCTGGCAGGTCTCGGCGGCGAGGCCAGGATGCAGCCGCCGCCGCGGCCGCATCCCTCTGCCTGGGGCCCAGTGACGCTCGTCTGCTCCGCTCGCAGGTTCCCCCTCTTCCTCAGACAAGATGTCCCACCAGAAGAAGCAGCCCACCCCGTGTCTCCCTGTGTGCTGTGGAAAGTCCTCTGGTGGCGGGGGCGGTAGTGGCGGCGGCGGCGGCGGCGGCGGCGGCGGCGGCCACTCCGGCGGCGGCGGCTCCAGCTGCGGCGGCGGCGGCGGCCACTCCGGTGGCGGTGGCTGCGGCGGCGGCTCTTCCGGCGGCGGCGGCGGCTCCGGAGGCGGCGTCAAGTACTCCGGCGGCGGCGGCGGCTACTCCGGCGGCGGCGGCTCCAGCTGCGGCGGTGGCGGCGGCTACTCCGGCGGCGGCGGCTCCAGCTGCGGCGGTGGCGGCGGCTACTCCGGCGGCGGCGGCTCCAGCTGCGGCGGCGGCTACTCCGGCGGCGGCGGCTCCAGCTGCGGCGGCGGCTACTCCGGTGGCGGAGGCTGCGGCGGCGGCTCTTCCGGCGGCGGCGGCTCCGGAGGGGGCGTCAAGTACTCCGGCGGCGGTGGCGGCGGCTCCAGCTGTGGCGGCGGCGGCTACTCCGGTGGCGGCGGCTCTAGCTGTGGCGGCGGCGGCGGCTACTCCGGTGGCGGCGGCTCCAGCTGCGGCGGCGGCGGCTCTTCCGGTGGCGGCGGCGGCTCCGGAGGGGGCGTCAAGTACTCCGGCGGCGGCGGCGGCGGCTCCAGCTGTGGCGGCGGCGGCGGCTACTCCGGCGGCGGCGGCTCCAGCTGTGGTGGCGGCGGCTACTCCGGCGGCGGCGGCTCCAGCTGTGGCGGCGGCGGCGGCTACTCCGGTGGCGGCGGCTCCAGCTGCGGCGGCGGCTCCTCCGGGGGCGGCGGCGGCTCCTCCGGCCAGATGTACCAGCAGCAGAGCTACGGAGGCGGCTCTAGCGGCGGCTCCAGCTGTGGCGGCGGCGGTGGCGGCTACTCCGGCGGCGGCGGCGGCTCCGGCTGCGGCGGCTACTCCGGCGGCGGCGGCGGCTCCGGCTGCGGCGGCTCCTCTGGCGGCGGCGGCGGCTCCAGCTGCGGCGGCGGCGGCGGCGGCGGCTCCTCCGGGGGCGGCGGCTACTATTCGCAGCAGACCACCCAGAGCTCGTGCGCCCCGCAGCAGAGCTACGGAGGCGGCTCCAGCTGCGGCGGCGGCTCCGGGGGCGGCGGCTCCGGGGGCGGCGGCTGCTTCTCCAGCGGCGGCGGCGGCGGCGGCGGCTCCTCCGGCGGCTGCTTCTCCAGCTGCGGCGGCGGCTCCTCCGGGGGCGGCGGCGGCGGCTGCTTCTCCAGCGGTGGAGGCGGCGGCGGCGGCTGTGGCGGCGGCGGCTCCTCCGGGGGCGGCGGCGGCTGTGGCGGCGGCGGCTCCTCCGGCGGCGGCTCCTCCGGCGGCGGCTCCGGGGGCGGCAAGGGCGTCCCGGTCTGCCACCAGACCCAGCAGAAGCAGGCCCCTACCTGGCCGTGCAAGTAAAGTGCCCCCGGGGCCGCGGAGACGTCGCAGCTGGCGGGCTCTCCGCGGGCGCCGGCGGGCGTAGCCTTCTCCTGGTAGCGCCCCGCGGTCTCCCGACCCGCTCCCCCGCACCCGGGTGCGGGCTGCGGTCGCCCTGCTCGGCGGCCTTCCTCCCTCCCAACTCCGAAACCTCCGCGAGTCAATAAAGCTGCAGTTCATGAGAATGCCTGCCTGAGTCTCCCTGGAGTCTCTGCGCCGCCTGTTCCGCTCTGTTCCCTTTGCTTCCATTCATTCCTTCGTGCATCCACTCCTCCGCGCTGGCAGAGGACCACACATCTGAAGAGAGTCGTTGATGGCTTTTGAAATGACCCCCAAACACAAAGCTCCTTGTGAAAGCCTTCACTGAACAGCACCCGGCGGTTAGGGGGACCTCCTTCGGGTCTCCTCGCTGAGCTCAGAGGTCTTTTTAAGACAAGTTGTCCCAGAAAGATCCTGTCCTTCATAGTCCAGGTAGTCTGGCTGGCCTAAGAGTTAGGGTGGCTGCACCTGCCACGCATCCTCGCAGAATGAAGAAATGTAACAGGGGCTCTTTGAAACTGCCCTCTCCGCCCCCCCCCTTCCATGCCCCTTACCCTCCCACCTCTCCTTAACTCTTTTTTGCCAAAAAGCAGCCTTTCCTGTAGTTTTAATTAGCTATAGATCTTCAGAGTCCATTGAGATGCTCCAACCAGGAAAGAGACAGAGCCTTGGATGACAAATATTTCACCAAAGTAGCCTTTCCATACTCGAGTGCAGAAAGGTACTCTACTTCCTTTTCCCTTTTCGTTAACTTCATAGAAGCTCTCCCCATGATAGAGCTTTGAAGCCACACACACACACACACACACACACACACACACACACACACACACACACACACACACACAAATCTGTCTTTCCTGCTCACCATTGGGCATTGGGGAGGGGGACTCATTTCTTCTCATTGCACCTGATTTCTTGCTGCTCTTCTGGATGTCCAGCATGCAAGCAAAGGGCTGCCTGGACATTTGAGTCTGGTAATAGAATATCATATGAGAGCCTGTACAGTATGTAAAGCACTTGACTAGGCACCCAGAAGGACCTGGCCTCTTGAAGAAGTTCCATTCAACTTACAAAGATACAATACAAATGGAATATAGGATAAACATTACTACCAGACATGTCATGGGAAAACATTGAAAGCTTTTGAATTACCAAGGAGAAGCTACCATTCCTTAGAGGGATGTATTAACTGCACAATCATCAATCAAGATACAGACCACCATCAAGCTTAGGTCCTGTTTTATATTTTCATCCTACTAGTTTTACATGAATGATAACATTAGTTTATTCAAAGGAAAACCCCTGCTGAATTAAGAAGTGACAGTACTCTTCATACCTGGTCAATACCAGAATCAAAAAAAAAAAAAAAAAAAAAGACAGATTCTCCTCCCCTAAGCCTTCAATTTAAAGTCACCACCACATTCATCAGTTTCTGTAACTGTCAAAGCTCAAAACAAGTAACAACCTTAATGATATAGTAATCCAACCACTGCATTTTTATTTCCTTTTTAAACAAATGAAAGTCAGATTTCCCTGTCTGGACATGATGGAATAAATGCATTTCTCCTTATTGCTCCTGTTAAGTAGAATTAAAGTATATGGACAAAAGATATAAAATAGCAAAGAAGACTTGAAAGGAATAGAATGAAAGGACAAGTAATTAAAGTCCTCCAAACTTAAGAATTGTTGACATAGAAGTAAATTTCCAGGTTTTCTTTTTGCACACTAGATGTCCCAGGCTGGGCATCTGAAAGTCTACAACCAACAGAAAATCACTCTCAAAAAAAAATCTTTATTAAAAAAGACAAATGTGGAGCTGTGGTTGAAGTGGTAGAGCACCAGCTCCGAGTGAGAATGCTAGAGATAGTGCCTAGGACCAGGATCAAGCCCCAGGGCCACCACAAAAAATTAACTAATTAATTAATTAGAAGGAAGGAAGGAAAAGAAGGAAGAAGGAAGGGAGGGGGGAAAGGAGGCAGGAAGGAAGGCAGGAAGAAAGGCAGGCAGGCAGGCAGGAAGGGTGGAAAGGAGGGAGGGAGGGAGGGAGGAAGGAAGAGAAAGCAGGAAATAGACAAAACGGAGGGAGGGTGGAAGAAGAGACAAAACTTTATGCAAAGAATGAGGAAAGATGGAGCCCAGCAAGACAGAAGCTTTATTTCTTACAAAATCTACCATACTTCAAATGACACCATGGGAAATAAATGAATAGGAAGGAAGCCTGGATGTCAAACACAGAAGGAGTACACATATGTTTACCCAGTGGTAAGGATGTGGTGCAATTCCCACTGCCAACACCTCATTGATAAGTCTAGAATTGTGATAACTTTAGCATTACTTTTTTTTTAACTTAAGATTACTTTGGCTATTGAAGGCTTTCTGTGCTTCTATATGAAGTTTAGGATTGATTTCTCAGACATTCTTCTTCTTCTTCTTTTTTTTTTTTTTTTTTTTTTTTGTGGTTGGTCGTAGGGCTTGAACTCTGGGCCTGGGCACTATTCCTGAGCTCTTCAGCTCAAGGCAATTGCTCTACCACTTGAGCCACAGTGCCACTTCCTAGGATTGATTTCTCTATCTCTGCATAGGATGATGTTGAGATTTGGATGTGTATTATAATGAATGTGTAAATTGCCTTTGGTCAATGAAAAGAGCAAAACTGAAATCAGGAAAGCAACTCCACATGTAATAGTTTCCAAAAAAATACTTAGGAACCAAAGATGTGAAAGACCTCTATGATGAAAACTTTAAAAACCTGAAAAAGAAAAATAAAGCAGATTTAAGGAAATGGAAAAAAAATCTTCCATGCTCCTGGATTGGAAGGATTAACATCATGAAAATGGCAATACAGACCAAAGCAATAGCTTCGCAAAGCAATACCTAAAGCAATACCCATCAAAATCCCAACAACATTCTTCAATGATATAGAAGAAGGGATCAAAAATTTCATTTGGAATAATAGCTCCAAATAGCAAGAACAATTCTCTGCAGGAAGAACAGTGCTGGAGTAATATCAATACCAAACTTCAAACTCTATTACAAAGCAATAGTAATAAAAACAGCTTAGTACTGGTACAAGAATAGGTCTAAGGACCAGTGGAACAGAATAAGACCCAGAAAGGAACCCAGGGACTAGAACCAACTAATCTTTGATAAGAGACCCAAAAACACAGGATGGAAGAAAGCCTCTTTAACAAATGGTACTGGCAGAATTGTATAAACTTGTGAAGAAAACTGAAGCTATATCCTTATATATCATCCTGCACCAGAATCAATTCCAAATGAATCAAAAATCTCAATGTAAGACCACATACCCTAAGACTATTACAGGAAGGGATAGGGAAAATGCTAGGGCTCCTTACCACAGGTTTAAACCTCCTAAGCAAAGATCCATAATCACAACAAATCAAAAAATACTAGATAAATTGGATTGCATCAAACTGAAGAGTTTCTGCACAGCAAAGGACATAGCCGGCAAGATAAATAGAAAGCCCACAGAATGGGAGAGGATCTTTACGAACTATCATTAGACAAGGGCCTCATATCTAAAATACATTTAGAGCTCAAAAACTTAATCCCCCCAAAAAGAAATCTAATCCTCAAAGAAACAACAATCCAATTAATAAGTGGGCTATAAACTTAAAGAGAGATTTCTCAGAAGAAGAAGTAAGAATGACCAATAGACATATGAAGAGAAGTTCAACATCTCTGGCCATAGAAGAAATGCAAATCAAAATAGCATTGAGATTCCACTTCACCCCATTTAAAATGTCCATTATCAAGAAAACCCACAATTACAAATGCTGGTGGGGATGTAGCCAAAAGGGAACTATATTTCAATATTAGTGGGAATGTAAACTTGTTCAACCACTCTGGAAAGAAGTATAGAAGTTCCTCAAAAAACTAAACATAGAGCTTCTCTATAAACCTGGGCATTTATCCAAATGACCACAAACGAGCCCATACTAAAGCCACCAGCACAACCATGTTCATTGCAGCATTGTTTACCATAGCTAAGATATGGCATCAACCCAGATGCCCCTCAGTGGACGAATGGATCAAGAAAACATGGCATAGGGGCTGGGAAGGTGGCTCAGTGGTAGAGTGCTTGCCTTGTATGCATGACGCCTTGGGTTCGATTCCTCAGCACCACATAAGCAGAAAAAGCCGGAAGTGGCACGGTGGCTCAGGTGGTAGAGTGCTAGCCTTGAGCTGAAGAGCTCAGGGACAGAGCCCAGTCCCAGAGTTCAAGTTCCACAACCAATTAAAAAAAAAAGAAAAGAAAAGAAAACATGGCATATACATACAATGGAATTTTATGCTTCCATCAGAAAGAATGATTTTGTCCCATTTGTAAGGAAATAAAAAAGACTTGGAAAAAATAGTATTAAGTAAAGTAGGCCAGACCCAAAGAAATGTAGGTTACATGGTTTCCCTCATTTGTAACAATTAGAATGTATACAAGTAAACCCAACAGATAGTAAATGACAAAAAATTACACTTGGACATGATAAACTAAACAGGACTCTATATATTCACACAGTGAGACTAAAAGAAGATATTCTTAGGAGAGGATCAAAAGGGCTCAATAACAATGTGTATATGATCATATTAAATGATGCTTATTAAAATGAACTCGAAGAAATAGAAATGAGAAAATTTTTATTGTGCTGTTTGTGGTTCTTTTTTTTTTTTACTTTTCTTCTGTTTTTTACCCTTTTGTCACTGTTTTGATTTTTGTACCGTTTGTCTTGTATGTAAGTTCATCTGATTTGGGGAGAGTAAAGGGAAGCACAGGAATAGTGGGACAAAGCATGAACAAATTCAGCAGTGATACTCACTATGTTGAAAATGAACTGTAAACCTTGGGAGGGGGATCTGGAAGGAAAACACTGGTAGAAAATGAGGAAGTGGGTGACACTATCCAAAAAGAAATGCACTCATTG